ACTATGGCTGAAATTAAAATTTGTCCGACAAAATATTGATGATAATATAGATAAAAAACTAATGAGGAACTCGCATTAAAAGACCAAACAACAAAATCAGCAAATGTAAACAAAAAAAAATCAGAATTAGTGAAGAAATAAAAGAAAACCCTATAGCGAGACCTGGCACTCGGAACACGACAGGGTATCTCGACCTCGAACTCAACCGGAAGACCCACAAATCCATGAAATCTGTCAAATGTGACATGCGAAACGTGCTGCACATCAGTCGGCCAGCCGATCTCCATGTGCCCAAGAGCCATCCCCGGCGCCGCCTCAACTCCCCTCTGCTCCGCCGCTCTGCACGCCACCACCGACCTCCGAATCGCCGCCACGAGAAAGGCTAGTAGAGAAAGTTGCCTTTCTCTTTCCCTTTCCCTCTCTTCGTCTCCTTTGGCCCTCTTCTTCACACTCTCTTCGTCTCTGCACCCCCTCAAGATTAATACAACTCCAGCCATTTTTGATCTCTCTGAACTTCTGTTTGCTTCGCAACCGGTGGAGCTGAAGACTGTGGAGAGAGAGAGAGAGAGAGATTTGCAGTGAAGATCTGCGTGATGCTTTAATTTGAAGTGGGCTTCTTTAAAGGGAGAGGAGAGCTCAAACGGCAAGTTTGGAATTCAAATTCGGATGTGTGAAATGTCCAAAATGGCCCTGAACATTCAGAAGAATGACGACAAAATTACCATTAAAATAGTTATCCAAAAATCCTACAGTTAGGTAGGTGATAACATTTTTATTAAAAAAATAACGTAATGGAATTGAAACTCTATTGAGTTGAATCATGAATGTCTACATCCACACAAAATTTCCTAATATGAATAGATAAATTGGCATTTTATGTGATTTTTAAATATTCCAAATAATTTAGGAATCATATCTGTCAATTCGAATCAAACCCAGCGTACAAAATTTGAGTTCGGATCAACCCACTAACCCATGTTTGACCTGTTTAATTTTTATAATTTCTTCTATATGTTGTGATAATATTCGTATTTTTCATCATGTAACTTAAAATCTATGCTTAATAAGCTAATAATTTTTTAAAATTAAATTGGGTTATCGGGTCTGATTTGAGTTTAATTTTTTGACTTGTTTATTAAGCAGGTCGGTTTCGGGTTGACCGAATTTAGGTCGAATACAAACCCGACTCATTGACTTATTTTGACAACCCTAGGATCATAAGAACTCTTATTTTTGCAACTTTTTAAGGACATGCTCAAAAAAAAAAAAAAATTCTATATCAATTATTTGTTTACTTAGTTATGTGATTAAAGAAAGAGGATAGTTGTTTTTTATATATTTAACTTAGAGAGTATAAATAGAAGCTTCTTTGATGTGGGCCT